GCCACTTCAGTTCGATCCCCGCCCTGGAGCTGACCCACATGGCGTGGCAGACCTCTCCTGACCCGCCCGCTGCTCCCCTCAGCAGTGTACTTCGTCCATCTGCCTGTTCTGCTCCCCACTCTGTCTCTGGTGAATCCTCTCACCACCTGCACCTCTGGCCTGTACCCCAGTTCTGTATGTGTAAATAAATCTTTTTTTTTTTTTAATGAACAAATGGAGGGAAAGGGGAGGAAGAATTTTTTTTCTCATTTTCTATTTAAAAACTTTATTGAACATATCTTTTGTTACCTCAAAAATATCTTTGCCAAAAAGGGCTTTTGACTGCAGATGACAGAAATCTAAGTGTACCTAGCTTATGTAATAACAATAATAATAATGGCATAATTTGGCCTAATGTCCAAGAAGATAGAAGGTATAAGACTTAGTGAGATCCAGGGCTCAATGGTATTAACAGGTTTTAGCTTTTCATTCCCCACGTATCGTAGCCACGATTCCAGGCAGCCTCTCACCATATGCTGACTCCCCACAGCTCCAAGATTCTCATCTACCAGCTTAGCAATAATTTCAGGAACAAACAAACTCCTCTTTTCCTCAATCAGAGCATACAGCTTAAGTCTTGGGCTCTCACTGCATTGCCCTACCCAGTATCAAGTGCCTGTTAATAAACCAATCACGGTGACATGGGGCTTTGCACTGTCCTGACTGGTAAAGTTTCACCATGTACCTGGTGGAAATGGGTTAGTTCCACCCACACCAAATATACTACTAAGAAAAAATTTTTAAATAAACAAATGAATTAACTATACCCATCTGGTTGTTTCACCAGTCCTTGTTTCTCACTGTGTCAGTTTGTCCATCTGCAGACTGGACAGATATTATCCCAAGCAAAATTCCATCTCCTCCATATGACGCCTTCCTTGACTTTTGTAACCTACAATTACCTCTTCTTCTATAATCAAAATGATATACAAGTGCAAGCATGGACAAGGACATGCTTGGGGCCCTCATACACTGTTCATAGAAATGTAAAATGGTACAACTGCTATGGAAAACAAAAAGTTAGAGAATTAACATATGATCCAGCAAACGGTATATAAACAAAATATGATTTAGCCATATAATGGACTATCATTCTGCCATAAAGCAGGAAGTTTAGATCCATGCTGTACCATAAATGAACCTTGAAAACATTATTCTTAAGAGGTCAGCTATAAGAGACTACATACTGTATGAATCCATTCACATATCTAGAACAGGCAAACCCATTGAATGAGAAGGTAGATTATTGTTCCCTAGTGCCTAGCCCAGGATCAGACTCCCAGTAAGTTCCCAAAAAAGGGATTCTAAGACAGGGCCCTCCCTGATGGCTTAACAGGTTAAAGCACAGCACTATGAAGCGAAAGCAACACTTCAGCATGAGTTCGACCCCCTGCCCCGGAGGTGACCCACATGTCCTGGCAGACCTCTCTTGTCTAGCCAGCTGCTCCCCTCAGCAGTGTACCTCAGTGGATCTGCCTGTTCTGCTCTCCATTCTGTCTCTGGTGAATCCTCTCACCAACCCCCCAGTTCTTGTATGTAAAAATAAATACATCTTTTTAAAAAAAGTGATTCTGAGGTGAATTTTTTTCTTTGTACTGAAAGTACTTAGTAAGTAACTGTGCAATCTACTTCCCAGAAGCAAGAGGGCATCGGCAAAAGTTTTCATGGCCAATTAATAGATTTAGGCCTAAGTTGAATCAAGGATTCTTCTTGTTTCAGATTTCCCAGGCTGGTTTAGGCCCTCTAATCCCTCACACACACACATGCACACACAACTCTTTATATGTACACATTCTTCCTTTAGGTGTGTTACTACACCTGTTACTGTATTAATCAGATCTTGCTAATCTCAGTCATTGGCTTTCCTTAAGGAGCCTGCACATATTTCTACTCTTCATTTTAAGCTTTAACTCTCAAACGATAGATTGTATTGATTTTAAAGTTTAATTCTCAAAACACAATTCCCTTACTGCTAATGTATTCAGTCAACAAATATTTGTTAGTGTACCTACTAAGTGCCAAGAACTCAGCATTTACCAGAAATAAGTAAAACGTCAAAATCTCTGCTTTCAAGAAATGGACAATTTATTATTTCTACTTTCTTGGGATCATCCCAGGCTTCTCTCCAGGTACTGGTAATCCCAGGGCCCAAAATAGTGTTTTCTAAGCCATATAACAATATCATTAAATAGAAAAATGGTGATTCGGTGGCCCGAGGAAAACAGTATCATTTATCAAACAAATTATAATCACTGCTTTCTAACAGTGGGTTTCAACACTGAAGCCTAGAGCAGAAATAAAGAAGCAGCTGAGTATATGCACGTCAGTGAGTGCCTGGGGCTCTACCCGAGATGACATAATCCATGAAGTGGTAAACAGGAACAGGGATAACTGGAGAGCTGTTTTATTTTTATTCACTTTCAGGAATAAGCCATATAATCCAGGAGCTAGCTGATAAAAGCAAAAAATCAAAAAAATGTTTCTTATCAGGAAAAACTAAAAAGCCCAGGTACAAACTGAACAAACTCAACAAGGAGGTAAATACTGACTCAGACTTATCAACAAAAGGTTTTTGCTACTTTTGCTTTGTGGTTGATTTTTTCACGTAGGCTCTTTTTCTCCTACTAACCACTGGGGGGAACAAAAGTCTGGAAAACACAGAGAAGTATAAAGAGACAATAATTCCACTATTCAAAAATATACATAAACAGTTACATAACTTGTTTCAGACTGTTTTCTATTATGTAAAAATATTTTTTTCTTTTCATAAAATTGGCACTATAGTCACTATGTACTAGTGTATCCTGCTGTTATTACTTAACACAGGAACATTTACCCATGTACTTACTCTTCAAAAATATGAATTTTGAGGTTGGCTAATACTCCACCATGTGAACATGGCATAATTTTACCACCCTCCTTTTGTTGGGGAGGTTGCAACAATGTTTGGCAACATAGGATAAATGAATGTTGATAAACGCACCCAGTCATTACTATCTAAGTGTGTCTTTGACATAAATTTCTAAAAGGGGAAAAAGTAAATCAAGGATATGAACTTTTTAAGTATCTTGATATTTATGCTAAAAAAGTTCTCTGGTAAAACTCCCCAGCACATTATGAAGACAACCACATTACCCCTTGGCAGCACTTGATTTGTTTTTTTTTTTAAGATTTATTTATTTATGCATACAAGAACTGGGGTACAGGCCAGAGGTGGGAGGGGTGGGAGGATTCACCAGAGACAGAGTGGGGAGCAGAACAGGCAGCTCAACTAAAATATACTGCTGAGGGGAGCAGTGGGCAAGACAGGAGAGGTCTGTTATGCCATGTGTGTGACGCCCTGGTCAGGGATGCTGCAGTGGCTGTGGATAGCTTCAAGTGCTATGCTATAACCCCTGCACCACCAGGAAAGGCCCTCCAAGAAGATTCTAACAGAAGATTCATGCAAGTGGCTTTTGAACAGTTATCTAATAATCCGAAGGAATGCTTTTGTTAAGCACTAAACTCAGAGGAGAGTAAAAACTAGCCCAGTAAATGTTTAATTAAGTGCTAGATAAAAAATACAAAATGCTTGGAAATGTTTCTTTCTCCCCATCCTTGGAGTCCCTCAAACAACAAGCTGCTTCTCATGATTCAGGGTAAAATATTTTGTCTTCAGTCCTCCAAAAGATGACCAAAAGCAGGGTAGGAGAGGAAAAGAGCATGAGTTCTACAGCGGATAAACCTGTATTTAGAATCAAGTATCTGTCATGTTCACACAGTAACCCTAGTGAGGTCATTTTGTCCCTCTGGACTTCAATTTCTTTATCCATGAAATGAAAATAAAACAATCTGTTTTAGGGTTATCATAAGGATTAAATGAAAGAAAATATGTGAAGTTTATAACTAAGGTCTGGTATGGAATAGGAGCTCTTAAAAAATGTGATTTTTCTACCCAGAGATACTAAATCAGTATTTAATTCAAATGATCTTATATAAAATGTTTGCTTGAAATAGTTAGCTGTCCCAGCAAGGCATCATTTAGGTAAAATCATTTAAGTCAGCTTTCTGTCAACTGCATTTTCCACTGCTATAATTATGCAATCATCAGCACCAAACAACAAAACCCCAAAGCTGATGTTACTTAAATTGCCAAATACAGTAATTATTTGATTCTTAAGATCATGACCACCAACTCCTTTAGGAAAGCAAAATCTCTGTAATTATAAGAGCAAAAGGTTGATTAGTTATTCCAGAAACGTGTCTCTATAAAAAAAGGCTTTTGGTCACTGCTTAGTATACTCAGAAGTTTTCCTCAAATTGCTGTTTTCTCACATTCCATACTCTGAAAAGAACATTGTCAATAAAAGAACTGAAAGGAAAAAAGGATATTCTTTGAAACTTAGCCTTCTTGGCACACTTTTCTGGCAAGAGGTTCCTCACTGGCGAAATAATCGCCAGGAAGAAAGCATACTTGATGGAATCTATCAGCATAATCCCTCTCTATGGAAAAATCAGGGAAAGTATTCTCCCTTTAAATGTAGATTCCTTTAAGAAATGAAGCCAGATGTCATTTACTAAGCACCTGTGTTTATTGTGCTTTACTATACATTTATATTATCTTTCAAACCCATGAGGTAGGTCTTATCCTTTCCTAAAGACAATAGGTAATTTGTTCAAGGTTTTATGATTATTAAGTGAAAACATTCAGCTCCAGGACTCAAGTCTGTCCAACTTTGAAACCTTTTTCTTTTCATACACTTTCATCAAATTTCAAAATGATCATGCCAGATTCTCCAGGAGATAGGACCCAGTTTAAAATTTTGGTTCCAAGACAAAACAAACGCAACAAAGTGTCCACAAAAAGGATGTCCGCTTCTGTTAATCAGCAGATTGTTCTTTTGACTATGAGTCTTTAAAATGAACTGAAGGACTTAAAGAACATGCCTTCTTAAAATCTTAACTACATAAAGGAAAGGTACCTGTTGACAGCCATAGCACACTGAAGCAGAAACAAATGTAAAGCAGGTACAGGCTTCTCAACCACGTCACAGATGTCTGCCAACAAAATTCTGATAAAATCCAGGAAGCAGCACTTGGCTTGACACCCAGCCTCTTCTCCATGGCCTTCCAGACAAACAGCATCAACCACTAGAGACAAAAAGAGAAGAAATTATATGCCAAGTAATTAATAATTGATTCTTGGAAATGTGGAATGCTAGCGAATGTGGCAGATTTAGGGAGAAGAGAAAGCTCAAGTTTGTCTTTCAGTGCTCATCCCTGTCCATAAATTTTGAACATGAGCTTTGGCAGAGCCGATAATTATCAGGATAAGCATAGCAGAGACTATGAAGTGAGCCCACTTCATAAAAACTGAAACACTTTACAATCCACTGTTTTCTAATCTAACAGCTAATCATCAATGTGGTAAAACAGAAAGAAAATTAGCCTAAAAAAAAAAGCCTGGATTTTAGCTCCACTTCTATTAGTAACAGTTTAGTGGCTGTCCTCGAACATAACTTTCTTATAGATGAAAATAAAAGATTAGATCTTTAGAGGTAAACTAACCTGAGGATTTTGTCTAATCATATTTTTTAAAATCTACAATGTGACTGTCTCTAGGTGGGCATGTACATTCCCACTGATTAACACTTTGATGTCACCTCCCTTATCCCAAGTCACTTGCAATTTTTGACTTGAATTCATACATAGCCAGCAAATATTTATACAGCCCTTATCATTTGGTAGACATTTGCTGGCTACTCTAGAATTTAAGGGCTACCTGATTTAGACCTCTTCAAAAGAAAACTGATTTTCCATCAGTTTCTTCTCTCTTACAGTAGTTAATTATAAATAACTACATCAATATAGGCAACAAATTTCAGTTCAGTTTGGAAGAAGCAATTAAAATTTTTCTGTCTTGACCCTCCCTGGTGGCGCAGCAGCTTAAAGCACTGCACTGAGAAGCTAAAGCCACTTCCGCATGAGTTCGATTCCTGCCTGCCCCGGAGGCGATCCACATGGCTTGGCTGCTCTCCTCAGCAGTGTACTTCGTCTATCTGTCTGTTCTGCTCCCCACTCTGTCCCTGGTGAATCCTCTCACCCATCGCATCTCTGGCTGTACCCCAGTTCTGTAAATAAATAAATAAATCTTTAAAAAAAATTTTTTTTCTGTCCTAAATAAGGACCTATCATCCATATTTAGCAAAGGGTGCAGGCTGATAACCCCCACCCTAGACAGTATCTTGGAATTGGCATTGCTGAATGTCAACACAAGTACAGAAACAAGCACACAAACGCACACACCTGCAGAACTGAGATAAAGCCCACTTAAGAAAAGGCTTTCACTAAGCTGTAAGCATCTGGAGATTTTATCTTTCTCATTCACTTCAATCCATCCCTACTTCTAGTTGTTTTGTAGTTGTATGTGAAGGGAAAGGGGGGCAGAAAGGAGGTGTGTGGGCCAGACACATGTTCCAGAGTTATTAAATGATGCCTAAGTTAGGAAATATATCTAGCCATTTCTCAAGTCTCCCAAGATGGAATGGGTGAGTGTGCATGTGTGTGTGTGTGTGTGTATGGATCTTTCCCAATACATTTCTGCCTACCACAAAAAGATTTTAAACTCAAGGTGACTCAACACCTGTCATCAATAGCGTGACAGGTGGGCGACAAAAGCATAGAAGAAATGAATAGGTTTTGGAAATGGGAGTAATAAATTCGATTGGATCAGCAAGCTAACTTGAAGTGCAATGACTTACAAACCATGCATAAGAAAGAGGCAGAGCTAATTTCATGTGAACTCCTGACCAGTTATTTCTCTCAAACCTACAATTGTACAAATCACTGCTAGAATCCAGTCAAAGGCTTGCTGACCAGAGGCAGGAACAACAATTCACACCAAGATCCAAATGATTTTTTACAGAATCAAAGGATAACCACGCAGGGAGAGAACACACACCCCCACAATACAATAGTTCTGGCATTTAGGGCGTTACAAGTACACCCGAAATAAAAGCACTTGCTGTTGCAGCAGCTGTTCAGACAGAGCAGGGGGTAATGTTTACTTAATACTTCAGGTTGATGGGGGATGTATCATAGTTCAGTCTGTCAGCTACATACGTGGAACTCCATTTATGTACAAAGCGATAAGATATGTTTGAACAACCACAGAGCACGTCTGAAACAGCCTATTCAGCTGGTATGAGTAATCAAGAATAAAGTACTTTAAAAAGAAAGTCTCATATATTTGGGAAAGTTACAGAGCAGACTGCCATGAATAGTTTTGCTTATATTTGCAGACATTGTTTTCCAAATAGCTGGAAAAACGAACAGATTGTTCTGAGAGGTCGTCTTTCCAATTTGTTCCTAGTTTCCAGTCTGTTAATCACATAAGAAAGCACGGGAGAGTGAGCTAATTCTCTTTGCTAACAGCAAAAAATCTATTGTCAGTCGGATACAACCACCAAAGGTGGGAGAAAGCAAAACTTTCCTGGAGTCCTTCCCCGTCCCCGCCCCCCCAGGTTTTCTCTTGACTTCAGTCATTTTCACCTTTCACCTTTGTGCTCTGTGGGGCATAATTTTCCAAACTCTGAATAAGGCAGGGTTCGCATCAGAATTTACACACGGTGCTTAGATCCCTGCCACCCGCCCTCTTATTCTGCATCAAGTTTCTATCTTGGTGGGGAGACCAAACACCGAAGCCAGCTGCTGAGGGAGAAGCTGCAGAAGTGGCAGCAGGGGAAAAGACAGCAGCGCCCCGAACCCGGTCTGGGTCCGTCCGTCTGTCACGGGGGAGAGAGTGATGCACGACCAGGCCCAGGTCGAAAGGAGCCTGGGGGAGGGGAAATGGTTACGCCTCGGACTCGAGCTCTGCGCCTGCAAAGTCAGAAGCAGCTGGCGGCTCTAGCTGGGCTAGGAGCGCCACCTCCGGGCCCCAACTCCCGGCCAGCGCACCCCCAGAAATAGCCCGTCCCGTTAGTCCCTCCCCTGAGCTCGAGGTCCACGGCCTGGCAGCTAGCTGCCCCGGCCACCTACCGGGGCTCAGGGCCACACGGCGGGGCCCCGGCTCGCGGCGGCTTCCGCCTCCTCCCGGTCCATGGGGTCGGGGCCCCAGCCTTCGCTCCCCTCACCCGGAGGAGGAGGAAGAGGAAGAAGGTAGTGCGGGCTCCCCACCCGGACAGCTCCCTCTCGCCTCAGCCTCCCTGGACAGCGACGGCGGCCGGAAACACCGCCTCCTCCCACCTCCCGGGGCGCAACCCGGAAACACATTCTGCTCGCCAAGCAAGCCCTCCTGGCCCCCCGGAAGCGCAACTCCAGCCGCGAGCCCAAGGGGAGGAGGGGCAGTGCTGGAGTAGAGCGACGCACGAGCGCAGGAACCTCGGTCCCAGGGTGTCGCCGCCTGCTCGCCAGAGGCAGTCTGCACCTTCGCCCACCCGGCGTGCGCTCCAGGGCCCAGACTCGGGCAGTACCCACAAGCAAGATGGCCGCAGCGGCAGCACCCGCTACGACCTAGCGCCCGGCCGCGCCATTGGCCGGAGCCTGGAGTGAAGCCGCCACCGATTGGTCGAGGGCGCTGCGGGGGTGGGGGTGGAGCTGCAGCAGTCTGGAGCCGGGAGTGGGCAACGCGGCGTGAGCAGCGGCCCCTGGCTCCCGGAGCATCGCGCTCGGAGAAGACTTCGCCGCTCGGGGCCGCAGCCTGGTGAGCTCAGCCCCCTTCAGGCCCATCCCCTGCACCCCAGCCGGAGCCTCTCGGAGCCGGCGCTGATCGATGCCGACACACCTGGGGGACCCTATCGCGACTCCATCTCGCCATATCGCGACATCATCGTGCCCTGTCGAGACTCCATTTTGTCCAACCCTTTGCAATATATACCTATATATTTTTTTAAATTTGCCTTGTCATCTTTGGGGGCTGTCCCATGTCGTGATTTTGCCGTGATCTCTCCGTGACATCACCGCGCCATCGTGAAGTGTGATCTCATCGCCGCCCTGTCGTGACTTCATCAATGTCGTGTTGTGACCTGGCTGCGGCGGGACAGGTGGTGACCGCCAGGAACCCTTCTCCCCTTCTCATCTCCCCATCTCAACAGCCCCGCTTCGATTATCCGGCTTTTGGATTCTCCGTTGTCCTGGGAGCTACCCCGGACCCCTTCTTGCTTCTCCCGCCCCTGCCAGTATCCACAGGCGGGGCGGGGAGGGCAAGGAGAAACTGCACAAAGGGTTAATTCTGCTGCTGCTACCGCCGCCGCTGCTGCTGTTGCCGCTGCTGCTGCTGCTGTTGCCGCTGCTACTGCTACTGCTGCTGCTGCAGCTTCTGCCCGAGGGAGGGAAAGGAGAGGAGGCAAGGAGGCTGCGGGGGCGACTAAGAGGCCTGGCTGGAGGGGTGGGGTCTCTAGAGGGGCTTCCAAGTCTTCCCTGCTCAGGCCCAGCATTCTCACTTCTGCTGAAGCTTGTCTCCTGCCTCTTCTGGAGAAGGGAGGGGATAGGAGACCCAGTATCCCCTCTTCACTCTTGGCAGCCTGAGTCCGGATAATCGAACTTCACCCATGTATGTCTCATTCCTCCCTGTCTGTCCTCACCACTTCCTCCCTGTGTGCCTCCGTGGAAGGAGATTAAACCGGGCTTCTGGTGCCAGGGGACAGCTGAACAGTGGGACCAACCCCCTCCCACCCCCCCAGAGATTGGTGAGGAGAGCCGTCCCGCTGAGCAGTAGGATGCATGCTCCTTTCCTGCTTTCTGGAGGTGACCTTGGACCTGGGTCCCTTCATCCCTAAGGACTTGATGGTCCAGCCCCTTAAAGGGACTCCCCCCAAGGGAGGTCAGTCCTGAGGAGCCCATCCTTCCCGATCCTCCCAACCCTCTGTGCTAATCCCTCCCCCCATCCTCCACTCCTACCTCCACCCCCTCCCTGCCCCACCCCCGCCCCTCCTCTGCAGAGGGATGCTCAGTCCCTCTTGTGTTCACAGTTGGGCAAGGCGGGCATCATGGCCTCGGATTGTGAGCCAGCTCTGAACCAGGCAGAGAGCCGAAACCCCACCCTGGAACGCTACCTGGGAGCCCTCCGTGAGGCCAAGAATGACAGCGAGCAGTTTGCAGCCCTGCTGCTAGTAAGGAACTGACTGAAAATTGGGAGGCGGGAAGGGCAGGGTGATTGAGCCCCCTAGGAATGGGGTCAACAAGTCCCCAAGGATATATAGGTGGTTGCTGGTAGTCTTCAATCACCAAAGAAGGCCCTGGGGCTATCTCTGGGCTCTTTTTTTGCTTCTCTTAAGTGTGGGGCAAAGGAAAGAATGAGGGTAAATAAGGCTTGTAGCCCTGGGAGCCTTGAGGAGGCTGCTTGGGTCTGCTCTCTGGGGCGTCCCAGAGCAGATGGGAGCTGACTCATATGGTAACAGCAGCAGGTAGTAACTAGTACAGAGTACTTGAGGCCTGGGGATGATTGTTCTGGGGGTGGAGTGTAGCAGGACTGGAAGTGACTGGGGAGGGGTCGAAGAAGGTGGCCAACATGGCAGTGGGTAGGTTGCGGGTAAAGGATCTGGTTTAGGGCTAGTCCTGTTGGAGAAGCCCAAGCTGGGGACAGCAGAGCAGGAGCTGCAGTGCTGGGAAGGGGGGGTTGGTGGAGGGGGGGTTGAAGGGAGGAGGGAGTACAGCCGCTGCTTGTTTGCCATGGCAACAGGGAGAAGGCTCTGGAGTCAAGGGCTCACACTGCAGCAGAGGAGGTGTTTAGGTGAAATGTAAGGGGAAATGTTTTGACAAGCAGAGAGGCGAGACACAGGAGCCATTTCCCTTGAGAAGGTGGCGGGAATGGATTGGAGATTTCTCTGGAGGGAGCAATTAGGGAGGGACTCTTAAGTCCTTGGGAGATTTTAACACTGAGTGCTAACCCTCTTCCAACTCAGGTTGTGGGCCTCTAGATTAGACATCAGGAATCCCAACTGACCAGGTGACGAAACAGCAGAACAAGTAGTTGAGAAGGACCTAGACCTCTCTCTACAGAGATGACCATAGAGGAAGGTTCCTGGAGGTCGACCAGTCTCCTGGGAGAAGAAGGAGCTGGGTAAAATGACCTCTGGGAGTCTTCCCAGCCCCACAGTGAATCCCCTTATATAACCTAGTCCTGTTAATGGTGAATACCATGTGGTGCAGGGGGCAGCCTTTACCTCCTCTTCCTTTCATCCTGCTGATAGCACATACCCCCTCTTAGGTGACCAAGGCAGTCAAAGCAGGTGACATTGATGCCAAAACTCGGCGGCGGATCTTCGATGCTGTCGGTTTCACCTTCCCCAATCGCCTCCTGACCACCAAGGAGGCGCCTGATGGCTGTCCTGACCATGTTCTTCGGGCTCTGGGTGTGGCCCTGCTGGCCTGCTTCTGCAGTGACCCTGAACTAGCCGCCCACCCCCAGGTCCTCAACAAGATCCCCATCCTTAGCACCTTCCTCACAGCCCGGGGGGACCCCGATGATGCTGCCCGCCGGTCCATGATCGATGACACGTACCAGTGCCTGACAGCTGTGGCAGGCACACCCCGAGGCCCCCGGCACCTTATTGCTGGGGGCACTGTGTCTGCCCTGTGCCAGGCATACCTGGGGCATGGCTATGGCTTTGACCAGGCCCTCGCACTCCTAGTGGGGCTGCTGGCTGCTGCTGAGACTCAGTGCTGGAAGGAGGCGGAGCCCGACCTGCTGGCTGTGTTACGGGGCCTCAGCGAAGATTTCCAGAAAGCAGAGGATGCCAGCAAATTTGAGCTTTGCCAGCTGTTGCCCATCTTTCTGCCCCCAACAACCGTGCCCTCTGAATGCCTCCGGGATCTGCAGGCTGGGCTGGCACGTATCCTGGGCAGCAAGCTGAGCTCCTGGCAGCGCAACCCCGCACTGAAGCTGGCAGCCCGCCTGGCGCATGCCTGTGGCTCCGACTGGATCCCAGCGGGCAACTCTGGGAGCAAGTTCCTGGCCCTTCTGGTGAATCTGGCGTGCGTGGAAGTGCGCCTGGCACTGGAAGAGACAGGCACAGAGGTGAAAGAAGATGTGGTGACTGCCTGCTATGCCCTCATGGAGTTGGGGATCCAGGAATGCACCCGCTGTGAGCAGTCACTGCTAAAGGAGCCACAGAAGGTGCAACTAGTGAGCATTATGAAGGAGGCGATAGGTGCTGTCATCCACTACCTACTGCAGGTAAGGGTGCAGAAGGAATCCAGTGTGGGGGGAGCCAGGGAGAGGGGGAGCAAAACTCCTGCACCTCCATGTAATGGGAGACAAGACACTGATCCCACAGCACTCCAGGGAGTAGTGTATGGCCGGGCCTCCCTCTCCCTCCCTCCCTGATCCTCCACATAAGCACCTACCACACACCATATGTGCACTCACATCACAGTACACACACAACACAGTAACCTCCCACTTACAAGCCTCCCCCCAGTACACACACACTGACACACACACACAATGGAAGCAGTCTGTTCTGCTCAATCTAGCAGTTTCACACACATACACATACTGACTTGTACTGGCACAGGAGCGGAGCATGCTGCCTGGGTCCTGGCCTCTGGAGAGGCTCCCCTAACTCCATGTAGTCCCCTTCCCCCATCTACATCTCCTCTTCCCTCCCCGGGAGAGAGTGCAGGATTTTGTCTCACAGGGTTTCACTCAAGACTGGTCTCTCCAATCACCTGCTTTAACCACTGAACTCACCAGTACACCTCCCGCATTCCAAGCCAAGCTCCCATTATCTTGTTTTTCTGATTTAGCCCCAAAAGGGGCATCTTTCCCACCACTCCTACCAGACTGGAGCCTCCCAACCAGGTCAGTGCCGCTGGAAAAGAAGTATTTCTTGGCTTTGGAATGTGGGTTCCTTCTAGCCTTGAGATGCTTTAGAGGTGGGGTTTCAGGGGGACGAGGCCTGAGTCTCAGCAGACATGTCCTGAGGGCCCACTCCCTGCCAGGCCTGTTGGGTTTGTCCCTGCTGTATGCCAGATGCTGGGTTACACAGGGCAGGAGGTGGCAGGGGCCCCACCTTCGGCTCACAGGCCAGTATTCCTCTAGTCGTGTTATTCCCAGGCTGGCCTGCATGCTGGCTAGACAGATGAAGGTCTCTGGTTCTGCTCCATCTCAGGGGTGTCCTCTGATAACAGGTGGGGCCAGAGAAGCAGAAGGAACCCTTTGTGTTTGCTTCGGTGCGGATCCTGGGTGCCTGGCTGGCTGAGGAGACCTCATCCCTGCGCAAGG